ACCAATGTAATCATGATAAATATCGAACAGGTAAGTAAGGTGCGGAGTGCACACTTGTTTGAGTTTATTTTAATTTAGGGGAGAAGCCCCTAAACGACGGGGGTCCGGGGGCAGCGCCCCCTATGGCGGGGTCCAAGTGGCAGCAGCCCCTGGCGAGGTCCAAGGGGCAGAGCTCCGGGTAATATTGTTTTGTGAAAAATGCTTAAAAAATTCGAATTTGTAATTTTAAACCCGATTTTGATGACCACTCTAGATAATACAACTCTGAATTTTCCCAGAGTTCTCATGCAGAAGACATCAAGAGACAGAGCTCTTACTCAAGAGTTAAGTGTCTCATATACAGAGCTCGTGCTATATTCCAAGGAAGATCAAGGCTTAAACGCCAGAAAGGTTAAGTGTTTGATGCAGAGCTTCATAGTGCAAGCAGAGCCTCTGCATAGTGCATGCAAAACCTCGATTTGACTCGTGTTTTCATTCCAGTATGAGTCTGTCTTATTTACACTTAGGGGGAGAGTGATGCAGAGCTTCACTCCAGACACAGAGCCTCTAAGTCTCATACTTCTAAACCTGGATGCGAAATCGTTGACGGGTCTCTAAATCTGGAAAGGAGGACTCCATATTTTGGAACTCTGAACCGCCAGTTACTCTGCGAAGGTGGTTATACCACGAATACGTGAAATTAACCGTTCGAAGGGACACATGTCACTTTAATAGACCTATTTGAACCGTAAGTGAAAATTGTGTCTAGATACATGTGAACCATCCATTTCATACAAACCTTATAAACTAATCACATCCATCCATTTTTTTGATTAAAGGCCAACATTGAAACAAACTAAATAAGTAAAGTAAAAAAAAAATAAAAGAATTCATAATAGAGACACGGAAGGGGAAAATAGGGAAAACATGTTCTGTGAACCTGTTTCATTACAACTATTATACATATGAACATTATTCATTACAAACTATTATACATACCTATGAATATAAACTTGTTTCATTACAACTCTTATACATGTGAACCTGATGCAATCATATATGACTCTGTTTCATTGAACAGTGTGAGTCTGTTTCATTGATGTTAATAAATATCTATTAAAAATTTACCGGTTTCAAGATTATTAAAAAATCTCTAATCTATATAATCTTCTTGATTTAGACACAACTAAAATCTTACTAAAATTATCAATTATAAAGTCAAAGGACAATCATACCCTTATGAATTAAAAATGAAGAAAATTATGTTATTGATTGATGTTAGTTTGTACAGTTTGTACAAAAGAGAGCGGTTTGTATTTGATCACTTATATATATATATATATTTGATCACATATATATATATATATATATATATATATATATATATAAGTGATCAAATACAAACCGCATGAAGTACTTATATTGATGCATATTATTTAAAATTCAAGATTACAAGTAAATTATGCATAAGTACAACTTATTATTTATTAAAGCTACATGTTTGAATTCGTGTAACTAACTGCAGAAAAACATAATCAAATAGAGGATAAACATCTCATTTTAAAATATAAAAAATTTAAAATATAATTAGGATAATTATTAAGTTCTAACAAAATAATTCATTATTATCTTTATCAGAAAATTATATTATTAAACCACATATAAATTACTTCGTTATTGAACCTAAATTAAATTATAATAAAAAAAATTTGAATTTTAAATAGTTAATTTGATACTAATATCAATATATATTTGTCAATTTTTTATGATATATTCAAATTTATATTTTATTCAAAATAAAAACATCATCGTTTTTTTCAAAATCAAATAAGACCATACTATAACATCGACTGAGATAAAGAATAAAATAAAATATTAAAATCAAGATATATCTCGCTGCATTGTGCGAGTACATATATATATATATGTATGTATAGATAGATAGAGGTTTAAACGAGAACACCTTTATTTTACGAGAACGACAGAACACCTTTATCATGTGATAATACGCGTGAGGGGACCATGTGATATGTGGATGACGTGTTCTACGACTTAGGTCGTGCCAAAGGTTGTCCGCGTCTATGATGGTTTTGATGGATTATAATATCATATCAACAACACCCTTATCACATGTGATAATATTTGTGAGGGGGTTTAGTGGTGTAACGGCGACTTGACCTGCAACCAAGATCGTCGAAAATCGTCCGCGTCTCTGATTTAGTATCACATGTGATAGAATAATAGTATCACATCTGATTGTCTATAATAAAAAAATGTTCTCACATTCTCATAAAATAAATGTATTTTTGTTTGAATAATTCCCCATATAAAGGTGCAATCTTCCGTGGCAGGCGGATGATCCTCTTACAACTTTGAAAGAATAATGCATACGTTGCATACAATTATTTTAACCTAAAGTATTTATTCTCATTCAATTTAATTGTAGGATATTTTAAACCAATTCCTTTGTTAATGAAAATATGTCTTTTATCGTCTTTTTTAGTGTAAAAAAAGCGAATAATTAAATCACTAAAGTTTTTATTATGTCTTAAGAATTCATGTATCATGCACGAAACGACAATCATATGTTAATGAAATCACATAGTAACAAATATTTGCTGAGTCAAACTATTTTATGTCCACAATCAATCATTTGTTTTTAATTTATATCTATATCCAGGGACGGACCCAGAATTTTTTTATACGGTGGCACCATTTGACCATAAGAAAAAAAATATATGAAATTTTTTTTCAAACGATGACACCGTTTGACTATAAGAAACAAATATACGGAAATTTTTTTCAAACGGTGGCACCGTTTGACTAAGAAAATGACACTAATATGATTCGGACTTGGGTGTGGGGTGGAATAAAAGCCTCGCCGATTAATCAAGTAACATTTGTAAACAGTAAACAAAAAAGAATGATCAATTTGTATAACCTAAACAATTAATCAACTAATCAAGTAAACAGTAAACAAAAAAGAATGATCAATTTGTATAACCTAAACAATTAATCAAGTAACATTTGTATAACCTAAACAATTAATCAAGTAAATAATAAATAATCAACTAAACAGTAAACAGAAAAGAATGATCAATTTGTATAACWTAAACCTAAATCAAATAAGGTCACAGATTTGGGGCTTTACCAGTTTACCGCTTTAGTTAATGCCTTAATGGACCATTAGATTTAGGGCTTTAGTAGTTTAGTTAATGGACCATTAGATTTGGGGCTTTAGTTAATGGACCATTAGATTTAGAGCTTTAGTTAATGGACAATTAGATTTTATTTGGGCTTATTTTTGCATTTTATTTGGGCTTTAGTTGCACTCTTAGAATTTGGGGAAAAATACGGTAGCACCTTCCGAAACGATACGGTAGCACTGTTAACAAAACTAAAAATTTTACCCTTCGGAGACGAAATAATACGGGGCACGTGCCACCCATAGCGACACACTAGGTCCGCCCATGTCTATATCTATACTATATTATAAATTATTTGACAAAACCTTTTAAAAACCATTTTTTATACATTAAATATTGATTAAAGCTCCATTTTCAATTCGTATAACTGACTACAAATAAACATAATCAAATATAGGATAAACAACCATAAGGGTGGTCCCTGATTGATTTGAGCTTGACTCCAAAGATTAAAAGTACCAGGAGGTCTCAGGTTCAAATTCAAGGAGAAATAAAAATCCCCTTGTGGCCACAGGGGTTCAAATGCGTTGACTCCTGGCTATCTGCAAAGCAGGTGGTCGCCCTGAGATTAGTCGGCTTGCATAGCGGGTTGGATATCCAAGTTAATCAAAAAATATATATACATGATAAACATCTTATTTTAAATATAAAAATTTAAACTATAATTAAGATAATCATTAAGTACTAACAGAATCATTATATTTATAAAATTATATTGTTAAACCAAAAATAAATTATTTTGCTATTAGACCTAAATTAAATTATAATAAACAATTGAATTAAAGAACCTGTACAAAAAAAGAGAGCTTTTAAATAGTTAATTCGATATTAATATCGATATATTTTTTTGAATTATTATGATATCTTCAAATATATTTTTATTAAAAAGTGAAAACAAATATATTTTTATTCAAAAGTAAAAATATTATCTTTATCAAAACTACATAAAACGTACTATATCAACAGAGACAAAAAATAAAACGAAACACTAAAATGAAGATGTATCTCACTGCATTGCGTGAGTCCCTTCTAGTATATTATAAAACATTTGACAAAAACTCTTAGAAACCATTTTTTATGCATGAATTACCGTTTATTGATGCATATTACTTAAAATTCAAGATTACAAATAAATTGTAAATAAGTACAACTTATTAAAGCTTCATGTTTGAATTCGTGTAACTAACTACAGATAAACATAATAAAATACAAGATAAACATTTTATTTTAAATATAAAAAATCTAAAAWATAATTAAKATAATCATTRAGTTCTAACARAATACTTAATTATYATYYTTATAAAAAATTATATTATTCAATCAAAAATAAATTACTTCATTATTAAATCTAAATTAATTTATAATAAAAAATTGAATTAAAGAAATTATACAAAAAACAATAATTTTTAAATAGTTAATTTGATACTAACATTGATATATTTAGTTTCCAAATATTATGATATTTTCAAATTTATATTTTATTCAAAAATAAAAAAAATTATTTCTTTCTCAAAACCACATAAAAACCGTATTAAAACGTCTACAGAAACGTAATAAAAGGAAATATTAAAATCGAGATATATTTTGTTGCATTGCATGAGTACCCTTCTTGTTAATTTAAATTGAAAAAAGAGTGATACAATTAAGAGTAGATATATTGTTAACTTTGTTTAATTTATTTCAACAGACCTATGTTGACTCATGACTTTAAAATATATCACATATGCAATATGCACATGATATCATCCCCCAATTATTACCGTAAAAGAAGATTTTTATTTTTATTTTCATATAAATAATATACTGCTTTATAAAATCTAAAATATGCATGCCCGTTTTTTTAACTAGAATGTATCCAAAATCACAAGTCGAATAAGTTTAATCCTTACGATTTTTATTCCTTTTCACTCATTTTTCTGCATCCAATTTTGCCTTCTCTTTTTCTTTTTACGTTACCTTTATCTTTATCTCTTCCTTCTCCTTTCTTGCCGTTTCTGCCTATGCTTCTTCCTTTTCCTTTCTCTTTGCCTCTGCCTCTTCATTCATTTTTCTCTCTGTTTCTTCTTTCTCCTTTCTCTTTGCCTCTGCCTCTTCATTCATTTTTCTCTTTACATCAAAGAACTTGATGAGACCATCGAGAACGACACTTGGGTCGTCGTCCTTAAGTAGTTGCTCTGCTACTTCAGCTGGTGTAACATCCACCTCACTCATCAAATCCTCAATTTGGTTAAAAAGATCATGTTGCGTGATGCCAAGATAGTTAGAGGCAAGAAGACGAAACCCGCATGGGGTGCAATAGGACATATGGATATGAAGGTCCATACGACCTGGACGAATAAGTGCAGGGTCAAGTTTGTCTTTTCGGTTAGTGGTGAATATAATAATTCGCTCATCGCCACAACTTGACCATAATCCATCAACAAAATTAAGAAATCCTGACAAGGTTACCTACAATTAATAAATTATCATACATTATATGAAAAGATCCATAAATACTTTGAAAGAAAAAAAGGATTAAAAAACATATTAAAATTTATATTTTGTTTATATATAGCACTAGTAAATCTACTTTGTTTTGTTCTTCACACAAATCGAATATAATTACATTTTTATATTGATGTACACATGTTTATTTAAAATAATGATCAGTTAAAATAATTCTAATTGAAAATAAAAAGTACATGGATGAATCGAAGAATCAATCTAAAGCATTAGATTAACGTAATTTAACGGATGTGATTAAAAATCTAATTGTAACCATAATTTTTAAAAATACGAAATACTTTCCCTTAATTTTGAAAATGAGATTTAAATCACCTAATGGTTCATAATATATAGACTAATGGTTCATAAAAGGGTGTGTAGGTCGAGGCCTGAGTAAATCACATGAGATTTTAGTATAAAATCACTTATGATTCGACCGTTTTTTATTATATTATTTAATTCTCGTATATTAACCTGAATTAATACAACCGTATTTATATATAAGAGTCTGGTTCAAGGGAAAATTGTAAAAAAATGAAAAACTGAGTAATATTTTTGTAACCGTTCATGTGGATGGTATATACATATGTGTATATAAGTAGTTTGTAAGCAATTTGTCTACTATGCACATATGCATAACATGCTCACTTGCATAAAACCATGAAACAACTTCAATTACTTGTATAGATACATACATATCTTCCGGATGAACGTTTAGAAGGTTATTCACTCGTTTTTCACTGTTTTGAGGTTTCCGCTGAAACCAGTTTTCATTTAAATATAATGCTTCTTTAACATACCTCTTTCTCTTTAGGGTAGTTCTCTTTCTTCTTCGGGGCTGCAGCTTTTGCCGCCTCTACGGCTACCCGGTCATGCAACTCCACCGAGCAATCAATGTCCTCCACCACCAGTATCGAACGGTTGGCCGTCGCCACCAACAACGACCGCAGCTCCGAGTTTGACTTAATATCAGTCAACTCCAAGTCATATATGTCAAAATTCAGGTAATTCGCCATGGCCGCGATCAAGCTTGATTTCCCCGTCCCCGGCGGACCGTACAACAGGTACCCTCTCTTCCATGCTTTTCCGACTTTCCGATAATACTCTCTCCTCGCCACAAACCTATCCAAATCCTTCTTCACCATCTCCTTCGTATCGGCATCCATCGCCAGCGTGGCAAAACTCGCCGGATGGTCAAGGTTCACCGACGTCCACATTGCCGTAGCCATCCTCGAATACGACGAATTCGTGTTGACCGTGAATAGCTTCACTGTTTTCTGTTCTTGTTTCTTCATCTCGGCGTCATTAAGTATAAACGGCAAGTATTCGTTCAACACCAGATCTTTGTGATCCCGATGAAACGTGAGTTCCAACGATCGGAGATCAGTTCGGGAAGTACGATTATCGTGACTGTAATATTGTCTAGTCGGAGTCTTCTTAGAAACCAAAGACCAATAGAATTTGACTCCGTTGAAAGTATCGGTGAAGTCTTCGTTGACTTCCATGGTAACGGTGATATTTTTTTGGGTAGGGTTTTTGATGACCTTGAGACGGTGGATGTCAGTAGACATTTTAGCGGCAACGTAGAGTTCTGTGGCGTTGTAGATTTCATTATCCTGAAACCCATCGAATTCATAGACGACCATGGTCAAGTGTGTGGAAAATTTGTTGATGAAATTGCGGAAACCGAGATAAAGGTAGTCGCGGAATTCAGGGGGCAAGTAATCCCGAGCGACGCTGCGGACGACCATTGCGGTGGCGGCGATGGAGCCGATGGTGGAGACGATGGTTTTGGCGGTGGGGAGTTTGGATTTAGCTGACAAACGATGCATTTTAGAAATGAAGGGATGCACTAATATTGTTCTTTGGGAACTTGAATGATATAATATATAGCGAGAGACTTGAAATATCATGTAATCATTTATATTTGTATAATCTATACAACTTAATCTTAATCGTTTATTTAATTTGATGAATATGTGATTTTATAATTTTTTTGATCGTTTTCTAATATAAAGTATTGAATGTAATTAATGAACTCTAATAATCTTCTATAAGTATTCAAATCATAATAAATGAACTCTCTTCATTTTCATAAATATCTCAATTGACTGGGTTGCATTGATTATACAAATATGATGAGTTGTATTTGAAATGTCATATATATATATATATATATATATATATATATATATATATATATACTAGTTGTGTAACCGCACAATGCGGCGGGAGCCATGAATTTTAACGATTTTGAAGTTCTATTGGTTTTATAAGATAAAATTTAATGATGATATAGTTTACACTTGGTCTTTACATATTAATAGAATTTGAATAAATAAGAGTTATGGTTCCAATTACAGACTATCGATGAAAAAAATTGTATGCAGTTTAAAATTCAATATATTTAAAATCCAACATATTTAAACGACTCCACAAATGTGTTCGATTTACAYMAAGAGHAAARAACCAARAAACTTGAGTTTTAAGATAAACACTCAAAACCAATAAAGAAAAACTACAAATTTGACAGATTATAAGCCATGAAAAGACCAAAAAAGATGAGTTTTAAAATGACATTTCAACTGTTTACCCTCTTTCTTGTCCAGAAACTCAGATTAAG